CAATGAAAATGAAATTAGGGTTAGAGTTAGGATGGGGTTAGGGTTAGATCCCTTTGGAGTCAGGGCTGAAAAATGGTGTGATGTCTATATTCTAGGAGATTCACAAATGAAAGTGAACATAATAGCTTTGCGTTTGGACTATTTTTTAAGCCAGTGTATCTGAAAGGCACTAAGTTGGGTTCAGTTTATTAAGGAAGAGATATCATCACACATTGGTAATATCCTACCCAAGTAGATCTTGTTGGTAGATACCTTTTCATAAGATTAGAAACCTTGAGGACATTCTAGGTGGAGTCCTGTATTAGTGTATGGTGAAAACAAAACAAAACAGGAGTCTGATAGTCTAAATGTTATTAACAGACGTGAGCTTTTGTAAGCTGCAGCCCCTTTCATCAGATGCATAAAGTGAGCTACAGCTTACAAAACCTTATGCTGTTCAATAAAATGTGTTAACTGGAAAAGGTGCTATCAGACTCCTGATTTTAAGCCTTGAGGGGTCAGCTGGAACACTGAGTTCTAATATCCAATATGTGCTGTAAACATTGTGTAAACCTGTTGCGCCTGATACTGCTGGTAGGGAATGTGGCTCTATCCTAGTTTCTGTGTCATAGTTGAACAATTTTATCACTCTTGCAATGCACTTGCTCCAATGGTTGATATGAGCTCTGAGTCTATCATAACTCTACAGGATTAATATCCATTAAGTATTGCAATATGCAAAGATAACAATATCACAACTTATATATCATTGATTATTTTCTTTAATAAGAACAATCAACTCAAATTTAAAGTACTGGTGTGCCTGAACAATGTCACATTACATATTGTTTAAAACAAACAAGACATTTAGATATTCACCTTTAAAAGACACAACTTGTTTTTAAACAACTATTATATCTCACGTGCTCCATTTTTTTAAACTGTCCAAGTCTGAGACAAAGTTTTATTTTTACAAACAATATTATAATTTATTAATTTGATATGCCTCTTGACTTCTCCTAATTCTGGATTAAAAAAGGTAATGTGTAGACCTCTTTTCCTTTATTTTTCTTTTGTTATCTATATTATAAAGTACTATAAAGTATTGCTATTAACAACTTCAAAAGAATGCAGTTGCAATGCTTCCAATATTACAGTCAAAAGTTTTACAATAGCTATTTCAGAATGTAATCATTTATTCTGGCTTTGACATTTTATGTGAAAAAGAATTATGATTTATTTTAATTCAGTTAAAATTAAAAAATATATAGTTTTCTTCCAGGAAGGAAGGAAGAAGGAAGGAAGGAAGGAAGGAAGGAAGGAAGGAAGGAAGGAAGGAAGGAAGGAAGGAAGGAAAGAAGGAAAGAAAGAAAGAAGGAAGGTTTTGTAGATTTCTATGTCCTAAGGCCAAGACTTCTGGTGCTGATAGCAACTTTAAGAGTTCAGATTATAGATCCCTAGGCTAGGAAAACAGTCCCCAAGTCTTTTGCTTTGAATTTTTTTGAATTCTTTGGTCCATGCCAGCCATATCTATTTAGAATCATTGGCTAAATATTATAATATAATACTATAATATTATATTATAAATATAAGATACAAATTCCAATAATTTGAATTCTACATTGAACAAAAGAAAATGGTAAACCACTATATCAGTGGTTTTTACTCCAAGAATGTAATTTATAGCAACTGTTTCTTGATTCGTGAAAACACTGTTCAAGATTCAGGAGCAAAACACTATTCACTCTTTGATATCTTCTGTATTCTGTTTAGACATTTTATTTAGTGGTAAAACTGGATAACCTGTAAATGTATAAATGGAATTGCTGAGCAGCCTTCTGAGTTTATTCAAAAACCTAAGTCAGTGCAGAGGTTTATGCAGATGTAATAGGAAATGAATTTAGTAAGTCTAAAAAGAAGATCATGTGCAAATAGCAATGACACCCTCTTGTTTCAGATTACAAGCATAGAAATGAGTCTGCCTAAGATCTCCTAATTAGAGTATAAAGTTCTTGTCTGAGTATGCTTGCAATGTGAAATCAATTCATTTATACAGTGAAACTGAGAGCTTTAAACAGAGTTTTGTTTAAGAAATAACTAGCACCTCTCCCTCTAACTGAAAAAGGCATGGTCAAGTGAATAGTCTTGTGTTATCAGTGATCACAGCCTTGGTCATGCTGACTTGAAAAGTAGGGTGGGTCTTAGTACTAGAGCAGTGAAGAACACAAGATTTCCATGATGATACTGTCTGCATGGTGACATACAGCAAAGCATGCAGGCTCACTTACTCAATGGACCTATACTTTTAATAGCTTTGACATAGACACTTCGTACTATGAGAGTTTTGAAGTCATTTTGTCATTACTGTGAGTCTCATTTTAAATTTTTATAACATCATTAAGAGCTAAAAACAAATGGCAAGATGTCTCAAGCAATGATTTCTTTGGCCTGTGCTTGTCTATCTTAAAACAAGCTATACCTTCTTAAAATAACCGTGGGGATAGGAGAGTGATGGTGAAGTCTGGCCTATCTATATTTTTCTTTATTTTTCAGTTTTTTTAAAAAAAGGTCTGAGCTTTTTAGCCAGAAAAGATCTAAAAAGAAGCATGCAAGCTTCATCCTGCTCTTTCGTTCTTTTGGAAATAATGCCATGGCAGAACAAGCTCAGTATTCAATTGGAACAGTGCAAGAAATTAAAGTCCCATTTTGGCTGGAGCTCTAAAAGGAAAAATGAGAATAAGGAGAAGGTTATGTTGGGACATCATTTGCACATCAAAGGAAGCTGGGGATGGTGGCTTGAGGAGCCTTTGAATTTGCCCAGCTCCTTAGACTCAACTTTGTGAAAATGCTTAGGTTAGAATTTCCTGATCTTGGATAAAGCCAGTCATGGACTGTCAGGAAATGGGAGGGAGTTGTGGGGAGTCTGATATCCACTTTCCCTTCCTACAGTTAGAACAATGTCCCCATTCTGAGAAGGAAAGAACTGAATGGAACAATCCTATAGCCTTGATGACCATGGGCATCTCTGGTGGAGGGAAATAAGAATGCCAAGTCATATCAGATATGGCCATCACATCTCATAGCCATCATAACAATACCTGATAAACATTACCTAATTTGTGTCATAGTGCATTCATCATCATGACTTCTTCAAGAAACCTATAATTGGAACAGTATTTCTGGGATCAACAGATGGTACCTAAATAGTTCTAAATATATTATGGGTCTTGCATTTAATCTCTAAGTGCACTACGTATATTTACCGTAACATTAATGCTTTCATATTAAATTCTAGCATTAGAGCTTTTAGGTGGAGAAAGCTGTTGCAATCTGCTTTAGTTTTCCTAAGCAAGTTGAATGTTGTATTTTTTAGCCAAAATAACAGCAGTATATTTATAAGAGATGGAAATGCTATTACTTGACAAATATGTCCAGAATCCTTCCAAATATTTGCTCTTCACATCCACAAAGACCTTGGCTCAAGTCAGATGCTAACAACAAATGTTATTTTCCAGATCCCCTGCTGCTGATATATACGTGTGGAATTTAATGCACATGTGCAAAACTTTTTTAAAGGTTAAATCTATAGCTGAAACATCTTTATGCAGAAAGAATTCTGCTTTTTGGCTTCTCTGTTCTGGCTAATTTCTTGGGAACAATTTTGCTGCCCACAACTTAAGATATTCATAGAACAATTTAATACATACATGCTGTTCTCTTTTGGAGCAAGCAATTAAATGCAAAGTGCAGAAAATGAGTAAGAAATAATAAGTAAAAAAATTGAAGCAGGAGATGAAAAGAAAAGGAAATGTCGTCACTTAGTTTGCTTGAACATCAATCACTGTATTTCTCCATAGCTTTCTCTCCTTGTAAATCATCATTGCTTCCATCACTGCTTCCTATGTTACTCCTTATTTCCAGGTTGTTACTTCATATTAGGAACTCACTTTTCTATTTAAGCCACATTCATCAAAATAAAATGAAAGAATTTGTCCATACATAGGACAAATCCTTCCTGCTTCCTGGGCATGTAGAACAAATACCTGGACTAAATCTGACATGCCATGGAATACGCAACTTGCTAACCAAGTGATGACTGAAAGCGTGGAGAAAGGCTTTTCTTCCTCCCTAGGAAGTAGGCAACAAACCTGGATCTCATGCAATTTCTCTCCCTCCCATTTATCTTGCAAAGATCATTAATACATTGGTTCCAGATTAGCCACAATAGTCTTCTTCCTACTTATGCAAACAAGGGATTCTGACTTTGTGGGGGAGGAGTTCCCCTTTTTCTACCTCCATCTTTGTTACTCTTAGAGCAGAGCTTCTTAACTGCTCCAATAACTGCCATGGATTCACGGGGCTTCTCCCCAACCTGATCTTCTTCAAGTTGTTAGGATTCCAGTTCCCAGAATTCCTAGCATGCTGCTGGGGAATTCTGGGAGTTATACTCAAAACACAGCAGGCAGACACAGAACTTAGGAAAGAGGTCATGAAAGCAGTCCCTGAGATATTTATTCAAAAGTAAATGTACAAGTGCATAGTGATACTTCTATTATGCATAAGCCTCTTTTTTTTAAAGATAAAAGTAAAAACTATATTCTAATTTGAGTATTGAAGAGCTATTTTCTGTTAGATAGGTTCTGATTGAAACATTATAAATTGGTTTCTCGTTAGATTTATTGTAAGAGTGAATATATTATATGGAACTGTAAGCCTATTTGTGGATTGTTATTATGCAATAGGAGTAATAATTTTGATGTTAAGGAATTTCATATCCTGGTGAAGACACACCAAAAGAAGCATTTGCTTTTACTTCATTAATTCAAATCAGTAGATTTTAAAATCTTAAAATGACATTTAAGACGTCTCTGGCATTCTGACTTTGTTTTAAAAAAGGCATACACAACTGGCAGTTATTATTCATACAGGCTGCTCTTGATGGATAAACTGAATGCAAGTATCAGTTTTGTACACATGTCCCTCAGTGAGGTAAGGAGTTGGAGATATGGCCATGGGTATCATAGCCAGAGCAGGATTTGTCATCATCCCAGGAAATTGAGGGTGGGGTACATGTAAATGTACTCTCCTAAAATGTACCAAATGTTCTTTAATTGTGTCCTGATATAATTCAGTGACCTAGAAATTCTACAAAATTCATATCCAAACAGATAAGCCAGAGGTGTCTGTAGGGAAGGGGTAAAAAGGTCAAAATTTTGGCTGTAACCATGTGTTCTGTCTCCTTTTAACATGCATTATGATCCAGAAGAAAAATGTTAGATATAAAATCTAAATACCTATCACTTTCATTTTTTAAATCAAATCCTTCCTTAGAAGAGAAAGAGAAACACTTCTTTTGACAGAGAGGCAGGAACTATTGTTATTTTTGGAATTGGTTTTTTTCTTGCTTTCTGTCTTCTACATAACTTGCTGTCCTCTGTTATTCTAGAAAACTTTCTATCCTCAATTCTTCTACAAAACTGGTATACAAAGCAAAATTGCCCCTCTTTCAGCTCCACAAAAAGTTACCCTATTTGGCACTGAGTAAGAAGAAAGATCAGTTTCCTTTCTGTAATTCAGTCATATAAAAAGTACTGGTTGAATCCTAAAATGAGAGTTAATACAAGGTGTATTTTGATTAATGTGGCTTAATAATATGGAAGAAAGTAGAAGTAGAAAGATCTTCAGTGCCTTTTGGGAGACACATTTTTGTCCTAGAACTTATTCCACTATTTGAGCAAATGATGGAGCCATTTCTTCCATCTGGGCTCATATTTTTAAGCCAGAACATTTTATTATGTTTATTATTTGTCCATTATCAGAATAGACAAATAAAGGACACAAGAATTTCCAGAAGAAGAAATGGTAAACCAAAGATGTTTTTACAAAACATAGAAGTGAAGCTGACAACTACAGTGGAATGAAGAACTGGCAAGTAAGCCAACTTCTCTGGACAAGGCCCTATTGTGTGTTTTCTGGAGTCTTCAAACATTACACCCTTGAAATTCAACAGCAAGGTACCAGTTTTCTGGCAGAAAGTCAAATAAGCAAATGAATCTTTCATAGCACCAGATATGGTAGGTGCTTATTAGTTTAAATGAGATTTTAGATATAAATACACAACTACTCAAATAATTCCCTTATCACAGTATGTTAGACTTCATAAATAAGGATGCATTATTTTATGGCTCAGGATGTTGTATAACCAAGTGGTCCCATTAATTTTTGTTTATCTGTTGGAGCAATGCAATTTGTGTGATCGATCATATTTTATTAATCCTGACTGAGGTTTTACTGGTCTACAGGGTGAATCTAGCAAATGAGTGACCAGATTCCTTCCAATATGTTCATAGATAATTTTTTAAAACTCATATTAAAAAATGAATATTTGTAATGTATTGATAGCAGTCACCATTGTAATGCACTGAGAGTGTTCACAATTACTCTAAAAATCCACTACTTGTTGCATTGGTTTTACACTTTTATCCCTTTTCCAACTCTGTGAAAAAAAGATGGGTGTTACAGCCAAGCTATTTTTTTTTAAAGTTAAAGTATATCAGAAACTGCAAAACCAAGGGAAAAAAGCTACACTGGCCTACTAAACTTAAACTAGCTTGCTAATAGAGGCTTCTTAAAGGTTTTAAACGTATTAAACGTTTTATTGTTTCTGTTTTGATATCTAGATCAATAAAGGTATTCAGTCAATTATCCGTTAAAGCTATTTTGGTAACCTATTCCAATAGGATATGACCCTAATATGCAATTATACAATTCAAGGCAAAAAGGTGTGAGGTAGATTACTTTTAATTCCTTAATAAAGATAATGACCAACATCTTAGAAATAAGATCCAGTAAAAAACCTATCCTAATGGACAGATAAAAAGGAGAAATAATCTGCAAAAACATGCCTCAGTGTACTTTACCACAACTGATGGCAATTTTCTGGTATCAACATATTTGCTCACTGAGTGAGCATTTTGCTGGCTCTGTGAAACCAGCTTTACAATAAAGCTCTTTTAGATTTTGTGTGCCAAGCTTTTAAGTAATCCTAGGACTCTCTCAGTGCCATAATGTTGCTGTGAGTGATGGAACAACTGCTCTGTTTGCTCCAAAGCAAAACAACTGCATCATATTCTCATCCCTGATATACTTTGCCCTCCGAGATATCTTTTCTTTTTATCCTAATCCAGCATTTGCAAACAATCCAGTAGCAATCTTTTGTTTGTCTAAAGAGAGGAGAAGGATACGCTTTGAACTGTTGCACTCAGGTCAGTCTGACACATAACACCATATATCTATGGTGCATGAAATTTGCACGTGAAACTTAAAAGCTATATCAGATGAAACTGATCTACCTAATTCAGAATAAAGAATATTTCCAAACTTCCATTTCATCTAAGTCAGGAATGGGTAACCAACACCATCATTTTTGCTACTGCTTGAATGTCTTTCTTTTTGCCATAGAACATTGTTACAATACAGTGACAAGTACTTGAGTTTGCACAACAAATAGAAACCAACTTTTTAAGGATACTGAATTATACTGAATAATAAGTAAACAGATCAAGTTGAATTTGCATATGATATTAAGTCAGTCACAAACACACATATATAATCAGGCCTAAACCTATCTAAGTTTAGCAAGTTGTCAAATATAGCTTCTAGGTCTTTAATTCCTTGATTATGTCTGTTGTGAAAGTCCAGCCAAGCAATAAAACGTACATTAAACTTCTTGTAAGTGTTGGTTCTCACTTTGATATGGATTCAAGTAATGCAGGATCAAGGGCATATGGTGCCCTAGGCTACAATCACTGACGGTGCCACATCACAAAAATGGAAAGATTTGCATTTTTAGAATGATTCAAAAGAAAGGACAGTATTGGTACCCTCTAACCATTGGCACTTTGGCTTAAAGCGGCCCTGGAGTCAAGCAACTATTAATAGAGAAAATTAGTAACTGTGGACCTTTTCTTCATTACAGAATAAACCTGCCTCCCGTCTGGGGTACAATGAGGCTAGGACAAAAAGTCTCAAGAATCTCCACTCTATGGTGCAAGTATTGATACTAAATTGAAAACAATTCACACATTGGAATTTTTGAATCATTACTGTTATGTCCCGAGCCTTGCAAACGGCTCGGGCGTTTGCAGGCAGTCCCGGGCAGGTGCAAAGCTGCCCGGGACCAGACAGGCTGTCGCCAGCGCCGTGCGCATGCGCGGGTGCTGGCGCGGGAAAAGTATCACATTTACCCGGGAAGCGTCTATATAAGAAGCTGGGAGGTTTTGGGAGCTGCTGAAGCCATCTACTTGTAAGCTGAACGCTGAATAAAGGAAACTGAGAACTTCAACTGCTTCTCGTGTCTGCTTCCCGCCAAGGACTCAACACTGGCGACGAAGGTGGGATGCCTTACACCGCCTGGAAAGGAAGAAGTGTAAGCTTACCCAAGTGAGTCCTGAGCGGCGGAACGGCGTCGACTTGGCAGCTACCCGCCAATCCAGTGCGCATTCGGGGGTAGGCTGGCTGATAGACCCGTCTTCTGAAGATGGCGAAAATCGGAAGGCTTTCGGAATTCGACGTCTCACATCCAGAGCGGTGGGAGTCATACGTAGCCAGGGTGGAGAACTACTTCAAGGCAAACCAAGTGAGGGAAGAGAGCTTGAAGGCTGCCACCCTGCTTTGTGTTTGCGGTCAAGACGCCTTCGACATCGCAGAAAACCTTGCAGCACCTGTTCCAGTAGAGTCTGTCAGCTACGCAGATCTGAAGAAGCTACTGAAGGAGCACTTCCACCCCAAGATGTCCGTCATCGCATGGCGCCACACCTTCGAGCAGAGGGATCAACGGCCCGGTGAGTCGGCCAAAGAATTCATCGCCGCATTACGGAAGGCCGCCAAGCACTGCGAGTTCAAAGACCTCGAAGAACGACTGAGGGACCGATTCGTGTGCGGGTTAAGGCATCGAGATCTACAACAAAGACTTTTCGCTAAAGAAGAATTGTCCTACCAAGATGCCTTAAGGGAAGTCACCGCAGAAGAAGCAGCAGGCGGCGCTGTCAAGAACATGCGGCCGATCAGAAACAGTCCAGAGGTTGCATCCGTGCACCAGGAAGACGCCCAAAGAAACTCCGAGGAGGATCCGGACGAGGAAGTCGACCGTCTCCACCCCACGACGGAAGAAAAACAGAAGGGAAGCTCTTCAGCTCCGCTCAAGTGCATCGGCTGTGGAGGTCGCCACAGGAGAACCGACTGCAAGTTCCGCTCCGCTACCTGCCGGGCATGCGGCAAACAAGGACACATTGCAGCTGTGTGTCTGGGCCGACGAAAGGTACAACCTCAGGAAGAACTGCGCCTGAAAGGTACCAGATTCCCCAGCCAGAATAGGGTAGGGTTTTGCGCTTCGCGAAGAAGCATCCTTAGGACAGGCACACACAAGCCCATTAAGAAAAAGCTGTCACTCAAGGTGAAGCTACAAGGGGTTCCATTATCTATGGAACTAGACACAGGTCTGCCTTTTCAATTATCTCCTTGCATACATTTAGGAAGATTTGTTCCGGTAGTGGAACTCAGGCCAAGTTAAGGCCTTCTGACATTGTGTTAACAGATTTTCAAAATTCAAGAGTGTGTGTTAAGGGGGAGGCCACCCTTAACGTGCAATACAAGAGTTTTGAAGGTCCACTAGACTTATTAGTAGTAGGGGGTGAACGAACGAGTCTCATAGGACTCGATTGGTTTGAGGCCCTGGGGATACACGTCACAGGACTCAACAGCTTACAAACACTCGACCTACAGGAAGTCTGCAAAGAATTTGCAGATGCAGATGTTTTCAGCCCCCAGCTGGGCACATTCAAAGGACCCCCTGTGTCCTTAAAGCTAGACCCCACTGTCACTCCCATTAGAATTAAAGCAAGAAGGGTCCCTTTTGCTTTAAAGAGTAAAATTGACACTGAGTTAGACAAACTGATTCAACAGGGAATCCTAGAACCTGTTGATTCCAGTCCTTGGGAGACCCCCATTGTCACGCCTCTAAAGGCAAATGGGGACATTCGCATTTGTGCTGACTACAAATGCACTCTGAATAAGGCATTGCAGCAACATGCCTATCCTGTTCCTGTGGTCAGTCATATTCTGGCCTCCCTCAAGGGGGGGCGCGTTTTTGCAAAGCTTGACCTAGCTCAAGCGTATCAACAGCTGCCTGTTGATGATGATGCTGCTATAGCTCAGACTATTGTGACCCACAGGGGAGCCTTTAAGGTAAAAAGGCTGCAGTTTGGAGTGAATGTCGCTCCTGGGATTTTCCAAAGCGTAATGGAAAACACACTACGGGGTATACCAGGGGTTTGCCCCTACTTTGATGATGTCTTAATTGCAGGAGACTCCACACACATTCTAGCTGAAGGCTAAGGGCTGTTCTGTTAAGATTCAGGAAGTCAGGCCTCAAGCTCAAAAAAGACAAATGCAAGATTGGAGTGCCTTCTACTGAATTTCTGGGGTTCAAAATTGATGCTGCTGGGATTCACCCTGCTGAATCCAAACTAACAGCTATTTTAGAAGCACCTAGGCCAAAGTCCAAGGCTGAACTTCAGGCCTTCCTGGGCCTCCTGAATTTCTACAATTCTTTTCTTCCTCATAAAGCTAGTGTAGCTGAGCCTCTTCACAGGCTACTAGACAAACAAGCAGTGTGGCAGTGGTCACAACACATGAGGCTTGCTTTAACAAAGTCAAGGCCTTGCTCACTTCTAACAGTGTACTTGCACATTTCAACGAATCTCTTCCTGTGTGCATCGCATGTGATGCGTCCCCTTACGGGGTAGGAGCTGTCCTGAGCCACCTCAGGTCTGATGGAACTCAGGTTCCTGTTGCATATTACTCCAGAACATTGTCTTCTGCTGAGCGCAACTACGCTCAGATAGACAGGGAGGCTCTGGCTGTTGTTGCTGGAATTAAAAAAATTCCACGATTTTCTATATGGCAGGCATTTCACGGTCTTCACTGACCATAAGCCTCTGCTGGGACTGTTTACCACACGTAAGCAGACTCCCCAAATCATTTCCCCTAGAATGCTTAGGTGGTCTATTTTTTT